AAACTGCTCTAAGAGATGAGGGCAGACTTTTTGAATGTATCCCCAAGGGAAAGAAATGTCCGACTTGCTGATTATCAAGCGTATGGATGGGTGGGGTGGGGCTGTGCTCCTCTTTGCTTCTCCACCAGGGGAGGGGGGTTGTACTACTGGCTGGGTTCAGCTGTGGGAAGTGGCCAGTCATTGAAAGAGGGAAGGTCAGAACCTTTCCCATGTCTCAGGAATAGCCAGAAGACAAAGGAAAGCACCCTTAGGGGCCACACCAGCACCCCAGAAAAAGGTCCACATTAAATTCATGATAGTGCCCTCATGCCTGGCCCTGTTGTTTTGCCCTGTCATCAAATCACATTCTCCTGCAGAGGGAAAAGGCAATGAATGTGTACAAAACAGCACCTCTGAACTTTTCCTTTTTCCCACATTTTGAGTGAGGGTGACAGCAGGTACAGAAGTATTTCCACGGTTTCAGTGGGGAGCCGATCTCTATCAGCAGGTTCAACTCTATTTGCAGCGACTCCAGTCACAAGGAGAGTTTTCTTTCTGACAATCAGAATTCCAGCAAACGGTAAATGTTTCTTCACGCTGAGAGGAGGGAAATTCAATAATACTTTGGCTGGGTTCATGCTGAGTAGTGAAAATGGAATGAATATGGAGAGGGACTATGACGTGTAAAGCAGTAAATCAGCTAGCCCAGGCATTTCCAACAATCGCCTTAATCTGAAGCCTCTCCTGACTCTGCTCCATTCTCCAGGGTAACAGGACTGTTCTTACATTTGTTTCTAGAGTGTCTGGTGCCATAATCCCTTGTTTACCATAAGAAACAGAATTAAGCACTCTGAAATCTTAAAAACAAAAAACCCCCCATACAAACAAAAACTGTGTTGTTCTATATTATCATAGAAGAATATATATAACTATGTTGCAGTAGCACCATTTGGTGATAGTCTTTACTACATGTTAGAATAACTCAAAGGGCACAGTTGGCGTGGGCATTAAGGAGCCTGTATCACTTAATGTATCACTTAAACAGTTTTTTCTTCTGTAAGTGAGTCACCAGTTTCAGAGGGTGTTACTAGAATGGAAGCCCTATGAGGGCAGGGATTTCTGTCTGTTTCTTCACTGTTATTTCAGCAACACACAGTAGGTGCTCTAAGAAGTTGATGAATAAATATTAATCTGCATGCTGCAGAAAAATGTATTTAGCTATGGGTTCAAAATGTCTAGTGCTAAAGCTCAAAGTGAACTCAAGTTTTCCTGACTTTCTTTCTATTAGTTATGATTTTGTGGAACAGCTCTGATGATTCTATAGAGGAAATTTTTAATAGTATGTTTCTTTTTAAAAAGTTACATCACTAAAACCTGATCATCATAGAAAAATTAGAAAATGTAAACAACCAAAAAGAAATAAAAAGGTATGTTTATGCTACTCAGAGATAATCATTGCTATGATTTAAATGCATGTTCTTACAGATTTTCCTATGCACATTTTTGTATATTTTATAGTAATAAGACTAGATTATATACATAACTTTCCATGTTCATGGAAAGATTTGTATTACCTTTCATCTTTTCTATTTCATCTTTCTATTTTTTCATGAACTTTTTGGAGTCCTCTCATACAGCTTTTTTTCATTTAACAGTATTGCATGAACCTTTATTTGTGTTAATATCATCTTTTCATAGTTTCACAGTAGTATATTTTAAGAATGTGCCAGAATTAATCAAGTCTCTATGGTTGTACATTTAAGTAGTTTCCAATCTTTTGCTTGATCATAAACACCATGCATTTTCCTGTTATTGGAAGAGATTTGCAGAGCCGGATTTTCACAAAGGGAGCCTCCGTGATGTGACAGATGTGTCCCCACATTAGCCCTTTTAGCTCAGCCACCTGTGTAGCATTCTCCTTTGCTGGGTCTTCAAGTGAAGGTGGAGCAGACTCCAGGGAGAGCTAGTGTTTGGGGCACCAGCTCTGCTTCTTCACACCTTTTACCTAGTTATTATATCTAGTCTCTTTTTGATTATCATTTAACTTATTATAACCTTTGTTCATGTTTACATTGTCTCACTGACCAAACACTTCCCAGCAGAACCAAGAAGGGGTTGGGGGGACTAGAGCAGCAGACAGAGGAGGGAGGTAGAATCAATCAGTATCTTACCTTCTTCTGCTTCAAGATTTGCAGGTTAGATGATACACATTATTATTATTATTGTTGTTGTTGTTGTTGTTGTTGTTGTTGGCATTATCTGAAGCCCACACTTTATTCAGACTTTCCTGGTTGTTACTTAGTGTCTTTTATCTGTTCCTGGATCCCATCCATTTGTAATATGTCTCCTTAGGATCCTCTCGGCTATGACAGTTTCTCAGACTTTGTTTTTGGTGACCTTGAGAGTTTTGAGGAATACTGGTCAGGTATTGTGTAGAATGTGCCTCAATTGGGATTTATCTGATGGTTTTTCATTATTAGAATGTGCTTATGTACTTTTGGGAGGAAGACCACAGAGGTAAAGTTTTATTTTCATCACAAAATATTAATTTTTATCACATGATATCAAGGGTGTGTACTACTGACAGGCTTACTGCTATTGATGTCAACCTTAATCTCTTGGATGAGGTCATGTTTATTAAATTTCTCTGCTGTAAAGTTACTCTTTGGTCCCTTTTCTAGACTGTACTCTTTGGAAGGATGTCACTATGTCCAGCCCACACATAAATTATTTGGAATTTTCCTGCATAAGAGATTTGTCTTGTCCATAGTTATTTATTTATTCCATCATTTGTATATATGGACTCATGGATATTTATTTTATACGTTGGGTTATAATCTGATACTGCCCTTTTTGTTTTGTTGCTCAAATTGTTCCACCTTTGGCCATTTGGTAGTCTTTCATTTGGGACTCTTTTTTTCTATTATTGTAATTTGTTTGTTTTTGAGTACTTTTTTATTTTCTCGCTCTGTGAGATGCTCCAGGTGCATCTTGTATATTGTACCCTAGTCCTAGAATCAGTTGTTTCTACAAGGCGCCCTGTTTTTTTTAAATTGTAGGGTGGTATTAAAAAACAGGATCTGGGCACTAGGTGCACTCATTGCTATTGAGGCTTCTAAGTATGTAGCTACGTCATTGCGCCTGGACCCTTTCCTCTGGTAGAGAAAGGAAATATATATGTGTGTATATATATACCTGTTTCTATTAATATGTTTATATATAATTATCTGTATCTTTATTAAGCTGACTATAAATTCCTATTGATGTCTCCAAGCCTAGTCCATTACCGCATGGATCATTCTACCCTTCTTCTTCTCCTTGTCTGTAAATTCACATACCAGTAATTCTGTCTGTCCACTCCCCACTTACATAATCGTTCAGTTCCAGTGTGCAGGTAGGGTGGTATCAGAAGTGTTAGCCTTTCCCTCCATGGGAAACAACTTTGTCAGCTAGAATGTAGTGCTTGTGTATAGATTCTTTGGCCTTTAGTCTTACAGATTTTCCTCATATTCAAAGTTACTTAGGTGAGTATCTTCTCCCCTATTCTTTTCAGTGAGGTTGTTTCCTATGTTTGTAACACAGTTAGATTGTTTTGTTACATTTTACACTTTATTCTGGGATTCCCTCAGTCTCCTAGTTTTTTTAAAAATTTGCTTACTTCAAGGATTACTGCTTGTGCTATGAAGTTCTATGGGTTTTAAGAAATGCATGGTATAATGCATCCACTACTATAGTGTCATGTGGAATAGTCTTACTGTCCTAGAAATGCTCTGTGTGTCACCTACTTAACCCTTTCTTCTCCATCCAAATCCCTGGCAATCACTGATCTTTTTATCATCTCTATAGTTTCATGCTTTCAAGAATGTAATATAAACAGAATCATATGACATGTAGTTTTTTTTCAGACTAATTTCTTTTACTAAGCAATATGCATCTAATATCCACTTATGTCTTTGTGTGGCTTGATAGTTCATTTCCTTTTTATCACTGAGTAAAATTCCATTGCGTGGATATACCACAATCTGTTTATCCATTTAACTATTGAAGGACATGTTTGCTTCCAGTTTTGGGCATTCATGAATAGAGTGTCTACAAAAATTCATGTGCAGGTTTTTATGAGGTCACAGCTTTTCAATCAGTTGAGTAAATACCCAGGAGCACAATTGCTACATCATATGATAAGATCATGTCTAGTTTCATAAGAAACTATCAAACCATCTTCCAAAGTGGTTGCACCGTTTTGCATTCCCACCATCAAGAATGAGAGTTCCTGTTGCCTTGCACCTGCATCCTGGCCAGCAACAGGTACTGTTGGTTTTTTTTTTTTTTTTTTTTTTTGGGGGGGGGTTAGCACTTTGTGTAAGTGTGAAGAATTATATCATTGTTTTTTAATTTACAATTCCTTAATGACAAAAATTTTTGAGCAGCTTTTGCTAAACTTATTTGACACATGTATCTTCTTTGGAGGAGTCTGTTCAGATATTTTGCCCATTTTAAAATTGGGTTGTTTATTTCCTTTTGTTGAGTTGTAAGGGTTCTTTTTATATTTTGGATAGAAGACCTTTATATATATTTCGCAAACATTTTCTCAGTGGTGTACTTTGTATTAGCACTTCTGGATGGAGAACTGTCTTCCAACTCTGAAAGCTTACATGCAATGTGAGATGCTGTTGATGGTATGACTCTCCTCACTGTGTTTGCTTTGTTGTTCCCAAAAGGGACCCCGGTGTTCCCTCTCACGTTCTTAACCCCATTCATTCATTGCCAAAGAACCTTTACGTACTGGGGTTAAGACTGTCTCTCTCTAGGAATTTCTTGTCTTTCTTTATTTTAAGCAAATGACCACGGTGATAATATGCTTATTCATCTGTCCACAGTAATGCTCCCAGTGAGAATCCAACCCAGTTTGTTTCCTGGCTTGGAGGAAACAAGCAGGACAAGAGGAAGCTGCCCACAATGCTTGGGTTGTGTCGTGTCCCTGTGAGTCTAATGTTGTCTGTCTTCCTTTCCATGGCCTCCAGTCATCAAGCCTCCTCTGCGTCATTTTAAACGCCCTGCTTATGCATCCAGCTCCTATGCCCCTTCGGTCCCAAAGAAAACTGATGAGCATCCTGCAAGGTACAAGATGCTGGATCAGAGGATCAAACTGAAAAAGATTCAGAACATCTCACATAACTGGAACAGAAAATAAGTCAAGGGGAAGAAGAGAGGAAGTGGGAGAGGGTCCAGGTACCTGCTGCTCAGCACTCACTGGCCGCAGCGGGATATGCCTCCAAGGCCCCTGGAGGCATCGGAACAGGTACTGTCGTGGTCGACTCCACCAAGGCAAAATGAAGCCTCTGTGGGATCTTCCTCTTTGTTGTTCTCTTACAGACTCATCAGTTGCTGGATTTGGGGTCAATCTAGAGGCCAGCAGCAAACTAGAAAGAGGGTTGTTTCACGTGGCTTTTACGGTATAGATCTTTTCAAGGTATAAACTGGACCAAAATTAAAATGATAAAATCTGTCAAGAAAAGGTGAAATTCCTCCCATTGCCACTTTAGTCATCCCTGAAAGTTGACTTTCCCCAAGAAAAACAATGGTTTAATACCCACCATATTTAAGAAATGCACTTCTGAAAACACCTTTTCCAATTTTAAACGCTTATTTAAAATTTAGATATACTTATTTAAAATTCAAATACACTTATTTAAAATTCAAGTAAATATGTAACTTTCAAAGTAGATGCATTCAAAACAAAAGTTGTGCTTCTGAATGTAACAATCTTAGTGGGAAAAGAAGACTCATGAATTGTTGCATTCTTGGATATTTCAGAATTCAGGCTTTACAAAGCAGATCCAAATTAAAAAAAAAATCAAGAAAAAAACCCGCTTTTTGGTTTCTAATCATGTGCCTTGTACCCAGTAGCTTCAGTGTATCTTTAAGTATTTGAGAGTTTGCAGGAGATGCATTTGACACAGCTTTCCTCTAATTTTACGTCCACATGCAGTAGACGGTGCTAGAAATCAATGTGATAGCCATGCCTTAAAGACTCCACATTTGAGATTTATCACAGAAGAAAATGGTTTGGTGGTGTGCTCCTGGGGCAGGAGGGTATAAAATGCTGAACCTGGTTTCAATTTCTTATTTCTATATTTTTCTCCATAACTCTAGAGATGACTTTAAGTTAAATTTCCGATCATCTTCCCAGCAGACCACATATCTAATGCCCTTTGGGAGCCCACCTCCCCTCACAGCTGTTGGAGGAATAAAAGGCTTTCTAACTCACCTCTCTTCATTGGGGCATTTTTAGCCCTTCCATGTCTCTCCCCAGAGTTTTTACTCTGGGACTAAAATCACAGAAATGGCAACGAAGGGCTCAAGGCCAAAAACAGCTTTTGATCCTCTCATAAATGGCCAGGGGCAGCAGAAAATCTGGGTTTGTTGTCAAGCAGATCAGGCTTCCATCTTTTTCTGTCTATAACTAGTTGCATGTCCTTGTTTAACAACATGACTTTTTAATGCCTCGTTTTGCTTAACTAGAAAGTGGGATTCATAATACCCGCTCTGCATTTTGTGATGGTTAACAATAAGGTAGGTTTTGATTGCTACTGCCGAGCCTGGCGAGTAACAGATGTACAACAGAAGTAGCTAGGAGCATTCCACATTCAGGACAAACTTTCCAGACAGCCCCACACAGAAGGAGCTGTTTCTTGATGGCCACAACCTTCGGCACTTGATTTCAATGGGTTTAATGTCCTTTCTTCTCCTTTCCCATAGTTCATTTCTGATAAACTAGTTATTCAAATTGAGTGAGCTCCAGAGTTTAGTGCCCATCATGCTATTCAGCAGTTTATTTATAACATGCTTTATGATAGTATTTCAGGGAAATTTAATTGCTATACAAAAAGAAAAATCACTGTGACCTTTTGTTAAGGGAGGCAGTTGTAATTCTTAGCTCCCTCCCTGCTCTCTGGGCAGGAAGACCCTTCTGCAGGCTGGTAGTGTCTATTCCATCTGAATTAGGTTAACTCAAGAGGTAATTCCTACCTATTTGTATACAGATGCTTAAGTGCTTGCTGCACAGAGCCATTTGGCTACATAAGGATGAATTGTGTTCATGGATATTGTTGTGTTTGTGGATACCCATGGGGCAGTGGCATTCTTGAGGGATGCTCCACAGCTATCTCTCAATAGCTTCAGTCTTCGGTATGCAGACTTCGGTGTGGCTGTGTTTTCTTGGCTATGCTTCTTGATGATGGAAGCCATGCTCCTAGGGGAGAAAGTCAGCTTCTTCTGTATTCCCTTCTCGCAAAATGTTATTTTTTCAATTTTAATCGAGCAAATGTATAGATGTTAAGATTCTGCACTGCCTGTAAAATGCCTACCATGTTTTTTGCATAATGGATTATATAGAAATGCAGATTATATTCTTACAGTAAATAAAAAGATGCTTTTAAAGGACTTTCTTGTATGTGAGACATCTTTTTCTTCTCTGGAATTCTGGGATTCATTTGGAAAAAAACGTGGATTTCCCTTAAGTTTGGCACTATTCGGCCCCAAATAGCTTCTCAAGGTGAATAGTATAACTTACCCTTTTCAGTTTGCTTCCTGATTGTATAGGCAATAGCATTTAAAAAAAAATCTCCTCCTCCCTTCAGACCCAGTACATTAATTTGCTAATATGAGTAACCCATAACAGGGGTTAGTCAGGAGAACACCTGTGTTACCAACTCAGCTCATATCACTCCAGGCTAAGCTGCATATCTGGTGGTTAAGAACTAGAACTTTGGAGTTAGAAAAACTTGTAATTAAATTCTGTCTCTGCTTTTTGTTTGCTCTGGGAGCTTTACTGAGTTACATAATCCCTTTAAAATGAGGATCTGATAATATCTGACTCAGCATGGCACAGGACTGGCCATACGGTAAGGACTCAATAAATATTCACTATGATTTCTTGTAGTGAGTGGAGCATAGTAAAGAGAAGTTAGGCTTTTGAGTTCAAGAGCAATGTCTCTTACTAGTTCTGTGGCATCAGCTAGATAATCATCAACTTCAGTTAAAAGGAGTTGATAATTTAATTGTGTGTTACTCATCGGGGTATTCCCACAGGCACCAGTCTCCTTCCTTGTTCAGCTTCACATTCACAGTCCATTTCTCACCCTCTACACCACACAAGTTCTGGGCATTTTCAAAGCATATGAACTCACTCTGCCAAACAATGGGCGTTTACTCTGGGTCCCGCTCCTGTAAGCACAAAGAAGCCACAGAAGCTTCAAAATGGCAGATTTTCTCTTTAACATAATGCAATTCCCAGGCAGGATCGGTCACTGGAAGAACAACAAAGCAGTAAAACTATGTCTCTCCCTCTTCCATCAGCACCCCCTGACCAGAATAACACCTGGGAATTCTGGTTGTTTATTTTTTCCCATCTAATTATAATACCAACCTCACAAGGGTAGGGCAGAGACTCCCACATATAGGAACTCAGAGAATGCCGCTTCTCTGCTCTTCCTACCTCTTCACACCACAGGCCAGTGAAGCCCTATCATGAGCACAGCCACTGAGCTTTTGAAGCAGGAAAGATACCCCAGCACTCCCACTGTCATGATTTCTAGCCTCCCACAGGATAGTGGGAGAGGATGGAGATGGTCGATAACCACTATGTTTTAAGTTTAAGATTTTCATCCAAATCCCTATTCCTAAAAGACAGAAGGCCACTCACTCATCTGCAAGGTTCTAATTTATTTTCCCACTGGCTGCCAAGTGTACTTGATCAATTATATTTTCTTTGATCCATTTACAATGAATAAAATCCTGTTTGCCCAACATCTTGATTCACTGGGAGTCTGCCAAATTAGCTTAGAAGTGAGGATACTGTAGGGCTGGGAGATGGGAGTGGATGAAGGATTAATGACTTGGCTCCATGCTTGGCCCTGGACATAGTTCCAGGTGCCCCTAGCAAGGCCAGTTGAGGCAAGAGAAAGCTCTGCAGTGTCACACGTGGAGAAAGTGGGACTTTGCTGGTGGTAAACATTATTTTTCAGACTGGCCTAGGAGACTTATGAGCATTCATTACACTTTTGTTATAGTCAAAGAACATGAAAAGCTGCTTTTTGGGGATGACAAGTGATAATAACCACACTGATAATAAACAACCACAGAATATCCTCCTCACTACATCTTTTAATGTTTAACTTGAATTCTCTGTGGGTTTTCCACTGCAGGCTTTCTTTCGTACACCCAAATAAGAGATTCTCTGACCTGAGCTTATAGAAACACCTCGTCTGGAAACAAGCCATTAGGGAAACAATTCACTTATGGTCATTGTCCTTTTAGTAGCATCTCTTATGACTCACCAGATAAAGGAAGATTCCAACTTTAAGACACAAATGTAAAAGAATATTAAATAAATATAACAACAGAGACAAATATGTCCAATCAGAACAGCTGAAAACTTGAAATTATAAAACACTGTTCTGAAACGATAGATTTTTGAAAATTCAGTTATTATTTTTTGAGAATCCACCAGATTCCAGGCACTTTATTATTTACTAATATATTCAACTCTTATAATACACTAGTATGGGAAGACTTACTTGTATGGGAAGACTACCTTACTGCTAAGTAGTGAATTGAGACTCAGATGGGTTAAATTTTTGCAGAAAGTTTGCAGAATGAGTGAGAAAAGGTAGAAAGGAGGTTCACTTGAGGTCCTTGGACTGCACTACTATGCATTTTTTCCATGCACCCTGTTGCTCCCACAGGCTTTTTTGGTGAACCTCTTTGTCGAGCCTGCTCCCCATCCTTGTGAACCTTCCATGCTCACGTCATTCTAACATCGAATTTAGGACCAGCAACAATAGCATGATTCTTCCCAACACACTGGATGGTTGATTTCCCTCTCCTTCTTAAGCAAGGAGTGTGCCTCTGTTGAAACCATGTCATGAAGCACTGCCAGGAGAAGACAGTGCTACCACACTGTCTTCTTCACTGAGCTACCACAACCATGCACACATCTGTACCTCCATCTTCCCTGGACCATTGCTCACTGAATGTACCTTACTCACCTCTCACTTGTTAATTCAAATGGATGGCTCTTTCCTCAATGTCCTGCTTCCTTTTCCCATCCTCTCATGTACGGCATGAAGAAAACACAGTCCATGTGAGGGAAAACATTCGCTAATTATTCTGCTTTCCACCTCTGTGGATATCTGACTCTGTACCACCCTCTTATTCTTCTCTGACTTCACAAAGGAGGATATATTTATTCTCTTTAAAAGCCGTTTCCACCACTGAACCATATTCTATTCCTACATTTGATTTTCATAGAAAATCAGCAATGCAGTCCAACCATTACATGGATACATATCCAAAGTCAAAGCACAGTGATGTTCACACAGACACATTCCCCTTTGCACTTTTTGAAGCCTTTCCCAATGTTGGCCACATCGTTTCACTTAGAAACTCTCCACCATTTGCCGGGGCCTTGTCTTTTACTTCCCTGCTTTGTTACACTTCTCACTGTGTAATGGAGACAAAAAAAAGATTGTTGAAAGCAACATGAATGCAATGAGAAGCCCAAAGGG